TTCCACATCACTGTCCATCACAAAGGAAGTAGAAACCTGGGCAGGAACCTGGAGGCAGGAGATGCAGGGGCCATGGAGAGGTGCTGCTTACTGACTTGCTCACATGGCTTGCTCAGCCTGCTTTCTTCTAGAACCCAGGACCACCAGCCCAGGGATGGCACCATCCACAATGGGCTGGGTCCTCCATCTGTCACTAGTTAAGAAAATGTTCTATCTGAGCAGTGGTGGTGCACACCTTTAATCCAAACACTGAAAAGGCAGAGGCAGGAGGATTTCTGAGTTCAAGGCCAGCCTAGTCTACAGAATTCCAGGACAGCCAGGATCTCAGATAGAAACCCTGCTTCAACCCCGCCCCCTGCAGCCTGATCTTTGAAGTCATTTTCTTAATTGAGGCTCCTTCATCTCAGATGATTCTAGCCTGTTTCAAATTGACATAAATTAGCCAGCACAAGGAGTAAGCAAAGGGCCAAGAGCCACTGCAGAAGGACATCCTGCCAACATGCCTCCTGAGGTGTGCCTTTGGAGTCCCTGAAGGTCCATGCCTCCCTCTACTTTGTCCACAAATGTGAACCTGACCTTGTGTGAACCCCTGACTTAATGCTGCGCACAGAAGTGGAGACCGACACAGGTGTTCATGGCGCTGGGAGGGTTACAAGCCCTGCCGGGCTGCAAACACTCTGACGTCAATGGCTCCTCCAAAGCCAAGCCTGGCCAGACAGCAGTGGCTCACAGTGGTTGTATTTTTCCTTCTACATGAAGTAAGATGGCAAGATCACCTTATTCTCAAAACAAAAGAGAACGTCTAACCCTGCACGGATGGAACGGATGCATTTGCCTGTGATACTGAGCCCTCGGCTCCCTGTGCAGGCCCAGGACACCCTGGTCTCTTCCCAGACAGGAAAGCTGAGGCAGCGAGGGAGTCTCATGTGACTCAATGCCACGTGTCAATGGTGACAGCTGAGCCACAGACCTACACAGCACCTCTTACTGTGTTGAAGAGAAACGAGTGTCCAGGGTCATTTCCATCAGCCAGGCAGTGTGTAGGCAGCCTGCTCTGTCACCCACCCATCCCACCTATCTCTCCAACTCTGCGCTGGTCTCTGAACCAAGACACGCACTTCCACAGGCCTCACTGGGCTCTGAGGCTCCCCTAGGTTGAAGCATTCACTCTCTCTATAGCCGTGTAAAACTGAATAGTAACATAAAAAGATATCATGTACTTTAAAATTTCTGCCTAGCTGTTATGTAATGGTAAGGTATTATACTGTATAACCATTATATAGTGGTGAAGTATATTATATATATTATATACTATTTTATTGCTATAACATCAAATAAATTACATAATCTTATATAAGAATGTAACATGTAACCTGTGGTACATTAAATGACATGTATTATATTCATATATGTTAAATACATATATTATATTTCTAATAATTGCCTATGTGTCCCTCAAGCCCCCTAGCTGCAACCAAGTCCCCAGCTCCAGGATGTTGGAGGTTCGCAGTCCAGAAGTCCTCCCACCTTCTAAGAATAGAAAGGATGGGAGGGGCTCTGACCTGCACAGTGTTGCAAAACTCCAGAAAAGTCAACTAAGAATCAGGATTTGGGGCCTTCTTGAAAGAGCACTGATGGACCTGACAAGACTCAGTTGTATTTCCTTAGCTCCCGGTCCCCTTCTCGAGTGACCACCTTATCCCTGATCTCAGTTGTCCTCAGCTTCCCTGGACCAGGGTATGTAAATGTTTTAGAAGTAATATTTCTAGTGAGGCCCAGAAAGCAGACACATCAGTGTAAAACCACTCTCATGACATGACATTGGCCTTTGCTATGTGTGACCAGTTCTGAGCACGCCCATCCCATCTCATTTAGTTCAATTCTATTCTATGCTATCCCATTCCAGTTTATTTTTAGTGCCATCTCTGATCTATGAACCACGAGAGGGTGATGATAGCACGTTGATAAACACCATCTTTATATGTGTCACTGTCTTTATATATATCACTGTCCACTGTCCTCCATACTCAGTTACAGACCTGTCATCATGGTCAGTCTTGGGGCCCAGGCAAGCCAGCACCTACCACTTCTCCTCTGGTCTTCATTCTCTTCTTCGTGCTTGTAGTCCCTGGTCCATCCTGGTCACACCCTCTTTCCCTCCTTTCCCCTTCATAGCACATGCTTGACCAACTTCAGATCCATTCTTGCTCCTTTGTAACCCTGAGTCAGAGCCTGCTACTCAGCCCCTCTAGTAATTTCCATGTCACTCAGGCTCAAAACCAAGTCTTCAAGACCTGTGTGCCCTATGCTGTCCACCCTGACCTCAGCTCCCATCCTTCATCCCTTCTCCCTTCATTTAGCTAGTGGCAGAAAACAGTCTGAGCATGTTCTGTCTGCTTCAGGTAGCGGGGCCTCTCTCCCGAGAGTCTGGCTTTACCCTTTTCCTACAATAAAGATTCTGACTTTAAATGCCATCCATTGTCTCTCCCTCACACAAGCCTGAGGATTTCCATAGTGCCTGTGGCCATCTAATATGAAAGAAAGAGAGAAAGAAAGAAGGAAAGAAAGAAAAGCGTGGTAGCTTGTGACTATCATCCCAACCCTTGGGAGGTAGAAGCAGAAAGATCAGGAGTCCAAGGCCAGTCTCAGTCTCAAAAGCCTGTTGACCTGTTCCCTGTTTTCTTCCTCTTCGGATGTCCATCCCATTTGCCTTTCTGAATGAGGATTGAGCATTTTTACCCAGGGTCCTCCTTTTTGCTTAGCTTCTTTAGGTGTACAGATTTTAGGAGTCTACCACAGAGGGACTCTGAAAGACTCTATCCAGCAGGGTATCAAAGCAGGTGCTGAGACTCATAGCCCACCTTTGGGCAGAGTGCAGGGAATCTTATGAAAGAAGGGAGAGATAGATAGATCTGGAGGGGACAGGAGCTCCACAAGGAGAGAAAAAAAAATCTGGGCACAGGGGTCCTTTCTGAGACTGATACTCCAAACAAGGACTATTCATGGAGATAACCTAGAACCCCTGCACAGATGTAGCCCATGGCAACTTGGTGTCGAAGTGGGTTTCCTAGTAATGGGAACAGGGACTGTCTCTGACATGAACTGATTGGCCTGCTCTTTGATCACCTCCCCCTGACGGGGGGTGGTGCAGCCTTACCAGGCCACAGAAGACAATGTAGCCAGTCCTGATGAGACCTGATAGGCTAGGGTCAGAGGGAGGGGGGAGGAGGACTTCCCATATCGGTGGGCTGGGGGAGGAGCATGACAGGAGATGAGGGAGGGGGCTACAGCTGAAATACAAAGTGAATAAACTATAATTAATAAAACAATAAATAAAATTTTAAAAAGCCTGCTGAAGGGGGATGAATCTGTGGCATTTCTTTTTTAACTCACCTTCCCAACATCTTGTGGAGCAGGCTGCAACATCACTGAACATGGCAGGTAGTCAGGAAACTGGAATGACACAAGTATACAATCATTTCCTTCTACATGCTGTATAAAACCATCATGTGAGATGATACAAACAGACAGAATTCTGCTGTTTTAACACCCAGCCCAACGCTGATTTATTTCCAAAAACCTCTAACATGCACATAGACATAGGAAGGAGGTTGTACCCAGGACATGTGTTCATCACATGGGCCCCAGTGCGCTCACTGGGACCAAATGCGGCTCATTATCTGGTTCATTCACCTCACCAGCCCTTATCCTATTCAGACATCTTTCTAGCCATTTTTACACATCACAAACAATTTCTCTCCACAGCGCTTAGAGCTTCTACAATGCACACTTCAAGTAGCCGTTCCTCTTTGTTGGACACTTACAAACAATACACAATAAATATATACCTTCAAAGCCTTTAGTCCAGTTTTAGCCAACTAATGTTATGTGTTATATTGCTAGAAAGTGAACCATCAGGTCAAAATCATACACTTAGTGGCAAGGGGACAGGGTCTTTCTCTAGTTCCATTATGCCAGCCTTAAACTTTTAACGTTCCTGCCTCTGCTCATCTGTTGCTGAGATTCATGGCTGAGAAAGCATGCTCTTAAAATATTTATTAATTTCTAAATATTATGTGTGTGAATGTTTGCCTGCATGTGTACGTGTACTGCACGTGTGCCTGGTGCTCACGGAGGCCCAAAGAGGGTTGATGGAGCCTCTGAAACTGAAGTTACAGACAGGTGTAAGCCGCCATTCGGATGCTGAAAACCAAACCTTGGTCCTCTGCAAGAGCAGCTAACCACTGACCATCTCTCTAGCCCTTGGCTGTTGCTTTTTTTTTTTTTTTTGTCATTCTGTGCAGGGGACCAAATTTATGCATACCAGACAAACGCTCCAGCACCAAGATATCCCTCCAAAACTTAAAGAACCCATTTCCACTCAGTCATGTTGGCCCATGCCTCTAATCCCAGCACTTGTGAGTCAGAGGCAGGAGGATCTGAGTTCAAGGCCAGCCTGATTCATACAGCAAGCTCCAGGACAGCCAGAAAAAAAAAAAAAAATTCCATTTGCAACAAATTTTCTTTTGTTTTTATTTTTTGTATTTTTCGGGGTAAGGGTTGAGATAAGGTTTATCTGTGTAGTTCTGGCTGCCTGGAACCCATTCTGTAGACCAGGCTGGCCTTGAACTCAGAGATCTTCCTGACTCTGCCTCCCTAGTGCTGGGATTAAAGGCGTGTACTGACATACCTGTCCTCTAAAGGTTTTATACACATTTCAAAATACTATGCCACTTCAGGTTCTTAGCACAGGTGCATAGGGTACCCAGGGCCATCTATGATATATATAATACATATCACATAGATATACACACATGTACATATTTATTTTGAGACAGTGTTTCTCTGTGTGGTACGGGCCTATCCTGGAACATGCTCTGTAGAGCCAAGTGGTTTTGAACTCAGAGATCCACTGTCTAAAATTAAAGGCATGCACCGCCACACCTGGCTAAATAATCTTTAAAAAGAAACTTTACATAACAATTGTGGTAAAATAGCATAACATAAAATTTTAGTTGATTTCAATGTATGTTTCATTGTGGTTTAAACTGTTCATAGTACCCCATAATTGTCACCACCATTTGTCTCTAGAACTTTTCCATCATTCCAAAGAGAAGCTCTATTCATGAAGCCTGAAATCCCTGTGCACCCTGACAGCAGACCTCATCTCTTACTTTCTATCTAAATTAATGGGGCTACACCCATTGTTTCATGATACTGTTTCTCCTTTTGTGTCTTGTTTCTCTTACATGGTGTCATGTTTTGGGGGGGGGGTTCAACCATGTTCTGACTTAGACAATGCTTCTTGACTTGTATGTATGTATGTATGTATGTATGTATGTATGTATGTATGTATGTATGTATTTATTTATTTATTTATTTATTGAGACAGGGCTTCTTTGTGTAGCCCTGGCTGTCCTGGAACTCACTCTGTAGGCCAGGCTAGCCTTGAAGTCACAGAGATCCACCTGTCTCTGCCTCCTGAGTGCTAGGACTAAAGGTGTGCACCACCACCGCCTGGCTACTTCTTATTGTTTTAAAGATTTATTTATTTATTATTTATACATTATTCTTCTGCCTGTGTGCCTGCACTCAGAGGGCACAAGGTCTCATTATAGATGGTTGTGAGCCACCATGTAGTTCCTGGGAATTGAACTCAGGGCCTTTGAAAGACCTTTGGAACAGCCAGCGCTCTTAACCTCTGAGCCATCTCTCCATCCCCTACTTCTTGTTTTTTTTTTTTTTAAGGTTGAGCCACATCACTTTGGAGGAGCTTGTGTCAATAAGATAGTAACTGTGCAAACAGAAAGGGCGGAAGAAACTTCTCATGTCCAGCTCTTGCCCAGGGCTTAGGGTTTCACTAGGTGATACGTGGCCCTCAGGCAAGGTGAGGGGACAGAGTAAGGTCATGATTCAATTCCCAGCACCCTGAAGGGAAGCAGGGCTGGGCTAAGGGGTAAAGGATGGCATTTGCTCTATCAAGATCTCCTGTCCCATTGGTGTTTCTTGCTTGATTGCTTTAGAACTTCCTGGGGCCAACTGAGGGTCATGTCTACCAGTTTCTTTTTATAGCTGAATGAGAGAAGACAGAACACATACTCATCTAATTAGGTGGTCAGATGAAGGAAAATATCCAAAGGGCAGGTTGAAATGGTGCCTTCAGAGGCAGGGAGGTTATTTTCAAAGACTTAAAAAACTAGACAATCACAGACCATGCAATCTAGAATTTCCTTAAAGGGTGCAATTTACAGGCCCAAAGATGTGAAATCCTCCCTCTGCCCCTTCTCTTTGCCCCGTTCCCATTGCAATGTGCGGTGGCTGAAGGAGGCAAGTCCGGGAGTAGGCATGGGAAGGAAGGCTCACCGTGAGCAGAAATGGATACGAGTTGTTTCCCAATTTCTTGAGCAGGCTCTCCTGCAGTTGGGTGGGGGCGCTCACAGCCCCAACAGGAGGGTATACCTGGACCCGAGAAAAATACAGGTCCCTGCGGAAGGTCAGGCCAATCACATCGATGTCCTCCTGGCCATAGCGGAAGGCACACGTCAGAGTGACATACACTGGGAAGAAGAGGCATACATTAGATTTGGTCCACCGCACAGGCCCATCTACCTCAGCCACTTCCACTGGGCCGAGCCAGCAACAGAGTGACTGCACCACACCCAGGATGCCAGGCTCTGCTGCATCCTGGGAGGAACAGGGGCTGGGATAATAATACTATGCAGCTGGTTGACACATTTGAGAGAATCAGCAGGTTCCTAGGGTTAAAGTTCATTCTCCCAAACGGGACTGTCATGGATTAGGAGGCATCTCCCTGGCGACCGTACTGTTTTGCTATGAGGGTAGACATTTGTGGACAGGGCTAATTGAGTAAAGGTGTCTGCTTTTTAATCCTGACAACCAAAATTCAATTTCCAGGACCCACATGATAGCAGGAGGGAATCGACTCTCCACGAGTTGTCCCCTGATCTCCACATGCGCACCTAAGGACTTGTGTACCCACTCCACATATATGTGTGCTTACACACACACACACACACACACACACACACACACACACACACACACACTACATAAGTAAAAATGTAATACATTAAAAAAAATATGTGGGCAGACAACACTTGCAGCCCACCTGGCCTTACTGTTTTCTCTCTCCCACCCTCTCTCCTCCTGGTCTGGCAGCTTGGGGATCTGGAGTTGGATGTCTGAAATGCTGCTAACTTTCTTGCTTGGGCTAGAGAGGGCAGAACAAACAGTGCTGGAAGCAAAACAGGCCTATGCCTGAGACATATGTCTGAGGCTGAGGGAGCAGCCAAAGGCCCAGGCCAGGCAGGGAGACAAAAATCAAAGGCTGGAAGTTTCGCTGAGGGTCTTTGTACATTGCTCTAGAGCACATTTAAGCATTCTCTAAATCACCACTTCCCAAAATTTTGTCTGATTAAAGGGAGCCTGTGCCCAGTGTATGAAAGTTCACTTCAAGCGCTTTGAAGGCAGGAAGGACACAGCTCTCCATTGTAAGGTTGGTCGGAAGTGGTACCTCAAGTGCCCTGGCTCCGGTTGAGAATTCTCTCTGTGTCAGTTCTGAGGCCAGCTGCCCCTTAACTGCCGACTCAGACAAACCACTCACCACTCATGCAGCCTTCCTTTGAGGTGAGTCCTTGAGAAAGGTGCCCATGGTGGGCCTGGATTTCTGCCCACTAAGCTGTCGTTTTCCCTGATAACTGAATCCCTGTGTGGTAAGGGGCAGGGACTGGTTGGGTTCAAGCCAGAGAGCTGCAGAGCATCAAGGAAGGTGGGGAAAACAGGAGAGCTATGTTCTGCCATTCCTGCTGTGCTCCCCTTTCACCCCTCACACTGTTGACACCCCCACACCTGACATATTCCAGGGGGTACATCCAAGGATTAGAACAATGCCTTGTGGTTGCCAGTAGCAACCACTCCAAAGGCATATTTAGAATGGAACTGAGTCAGCGACATTATCATAAACATAGCTTGAATCTGTTCTAATTCAGTTTTTGCAACTGTCATTAGTAACAAATGGCTTGCCACACACAGCAAAACTGCCAGAGATCTCAAGGACACTGTAATACCATGGAACAGAACTTCGAAAGGAAGCACAAGAATAAACTCTGGGTTTATTCTCAGCAGGCATGGTTTCCTCCTACCCGCAGATAACCTTCACTGCCAGGAAGATGGGCGAGGCGACTAGGCCTTTTCTGCAAGGAGGAGCAGCAAGGGGCTCAGCTCACCTTTCTTCCCTTTCACAAGCTCAGGATCCACTAGGACAACTCCATCTAAACCGAAAGAGAAAACCCAGGGAGTGAGGTCACACCAGAAGAGTCGGATAGCTGACTTCACCACTCTGGGCAACGCGGTGCCTTCTGTTTTCATTTTGGAGGTGGGATGTTGAGACAGGGTCTCACGTAGCCCAGTCTAGTCTTGGAGATGACCATAAAGCAAGCCTCCTCTTTCTAGGTCTGATTCACCAACCGGCTTGCTTGCTTTTTATTGTTTTGAGGAATAGTATTTGAGCCAGGCGCAGTGGTGCATACCCCTGGTCCCCGCACTCAGAGAGGCAGAGGCAGGCGGATCTCTGAGCTCAAGGCCAGCCTGGTCTACAAAGTGAATCCAGAACAGCCAAGGCTACACAGAGAAACCCTGTCTCAAAAAACAAAATAAAATAAAAAGAATGTTTGCTTTAGGAGCGGGAGAGATGGCTCAGCAGTTAAGAGCACTTGTTGCTCCTGCTCAGGACCTAGTTTTGGTTTCCAGCAACCATGTGGCAACATACAACTGTCTGTAGCTCCAGTTTCGGGGGATCTAACACGGCTTTTGTCTTCCGAGAGCTCATGTGCACATTCACGCACATAATTATATGTGTGTGTGTGTGCGCTTTGTCTTCACATACACCGGAAGAAGAAATCAGATCCCATTACAGACAATTACGTGGTTGCTGGGAATTGAACTCAGGACCTCTGGAAGAGCACCCATTGCTCTTAACCACTAAGCCACCTCTTCAGCTCAAGAATCATGTTTTGTTGTTGTTTTTTGAGACAGGGTTTCTCTGTGTAGCCTTGGCTGTCCTGGAATTCACTTGGCCGACCAGGCTGGCCTCACACTCCTAGAGATTCACCTGCCTTTGCCTCCCAAATGCTAGAATTAAAGGTGTGTGTACCACCACCTGGTAAGAATAGTAATTTTTAAAATGCTGGGGATAAAATTCAGGTTGTCAGTCTTAGCAGCAAGCAGCCTACCCACTGAGGACAGCTTTATCCTCAGTGCTTAAAACTGCCAATTTCCCCCACACTTCCTTCGAACATTTGATAGGAAAATGCTTATCAAGCCAGAGGAAGTTACAAAGCTAGTACAGAGGGCTCCTATATCCTTCATCCCCAGTTGCATCCTGTACTTATAACTTACATACTTACAGAGCTAAATGAGGAGGTGGTCAAGCACACAACGGGTGTGTACTTTATCACCAATGGAGAGCTGTGTGGCCACCACAGTCTAGATTTAGAACTGTCTAGGCATTGGAAGGGCCTCCTTTGGGCTCTATTATACCACCCATTCCTGCTCCTATCATCCCCAGCTCCTGGAAAGCACTGTTTTTAGGATTTTGTCATCTTGAGAATGCTGTATAAGTGAGTCATGAAGTGTGCACCCCTCTGAGATTGCTCTTTTTACCCAGCATAATGCCTTAGAGATCTATAAGCTGTTGCATATAGCAATAGCTCACACTTGATACATTTCTTTGCTTTTCTCTTTCTTTCTTTCTTTCTTTCTTTCTTTCTTTCTTTCTTTCTTTCTTTCCTTTCTCTTTCTCTTTCTCTTTCTCTCTCTTTTTCTCTTTCTTTCTTTCTTTGAAAGGGTTTTCCTATACAACCCAGGCTAACCTCAGATTCTCATTCCTCCTGCCTCAGCCTCCCAAGTACGGAGATTACAGGTGTGTGCCATAAGAACTGGCTGTTTGTTCTCTTTTATCATTGAATGGTAGTCCATGGTATGGATATACCACAGTTTGTTTAGCGTTATTCATATGCTGAAGAGAGATTTTATTTCTTTTTGGTTTCTGGAGCTGCTATGAACAACCACATCCAAGGAAGGTTTTGTAGGAATAGGGTTCACTTCTCAGTAAATAATCAGGAGTGCTGTTATTGGGTCATATGGTAAGGATATGTTTAGTTCTTAAGAAAACTGCCAAGCTGCTTTCCCAGTGGCTGCAGCACCGTACACTCCCATCAGCAGCCCACAGTTCCTCAGCATCCCCAGTCATTGCCATTGCCATTGCTGTTCTTTTGACCTTCTTTCTTTTTGCATTTGAAAGGTTGAAAAGTATTGATTTTGTGTTAGGAAAAAAATACACAAGGAACAGTTTCTTTTCCTACACATAACTGGATTCCTGGGTGTTTCCCAGAGTCTGGGTGGCTCTGGGGATATAAGAAGTGGCAGCATGTATGAACCTATTGACAGTGGTGTTCCGGTACTGCCTCCCTTAGACCCAAGCATTTAAAGTTTTAAGATTAAGACAGTTCCTGCTGTCTCTGGTTTCTTAAACCCATTTGCTTTAGAAATCTTCCCTTGTTCAAAGCCTTATTTGAGAATTTTGGTGCTTTCTTAGCATCAGTTTGAGGGTATGTCTATCATGCTGGGGAAAATGTGGAAACAGGAGTTTGAGGCAGCTGGCCATATTGCATGTACAGTCAAGAAGCAGAGAGATGAATTTGTTTCCTTTAGTACTGAAGACTGAGCCCAGGGCCTTGTACTAGGCAAATGATTCTGAGCTACAAATCAGTTCTTTCTTTCTTTCTTTCTTTCTTTCTTTCTTTCTTTCTTTCTTTC